TATATATATATATATCCTTTTTTTTAGAGACAAAGGTTCACTTTCAACAATGCACCCACCCAGAGTACTGAGCCAGAAGAGGACACTTTAGGAAAACTTAAAAAAAAAAAGAAAAACCTGGGCCTAAACTGAATACAGAGCATTTCTGGAGAAACCTGTAAATAACGGTGAACTGACAAACACAAGTGGGACTCAAAAAGTTTGCAAACAGGAAGTTTTCTAAGTTTCTGGGCTCATTCTTAAATAAACCCAAGGTTGCAGTTTATTGGTTTCTGCCAACAAAAGCTCAAAACTAACTGAACCATCTGGTTACTGACATGAATGGGGTGAATTGAATTATGATGAGCTTGAAAAAATAAAAAAAACTAAATAAAAGCCAGAAAACGTTCAACGAACATGCCTGCCTTGCTTGAAACAAGTCTTGCTGACATCACAGATAAAGCGTTCAGCGTACCTGTGTTTGTAGGGCTGCTTATGGCTGTGGGTTGGTTGGGTGGCTCCCCGAGGACCAGGCGGACTCTCTTGGCGTGGGTTTTGCCCTGGTAGTGGGACTGAGCCACAATCGCAGAGGTGAAGAACATGTTACACAACGTGCAGCACTTGTTCCGGTCCACTTCTGTCTCTGCGCAGTCCTGGAGGAGCAGAAGACAATGAAATCAATAATGAAAAACTAAATCTCAGTGAAGGACAGGTTGAAGGAAGTGAAAATTTAATTTTTAAAAAGGAGAGGGATGTGAAATAAAAGCAGACAAAAGTAACAGGAAAGAAAAAAAGGGCGTATCTTTTGCACTTAGCTCAGTGCGCCTGCTTTAGAATCACAAACATGAACAAACACATGCCAACACACAAAGGCAAAGAGAGAGACGATCAAATATTCATCTGCCTCTCAGGGCTGAGATTGTGGCTTGGCCTCTTCACTGCTGCTGGTTCATTACTGATGAGGGGATGTTGCTTCCTGCAGGAAATGGGAGAACCCAAACTAAAAGACTAACCGCCTGATTGACACTAATGTGAGAACACAAACACACACAGAGCCACACACTTCAGAGGACACTTCAGGCGTTACAGTTGAAATAAAAAAAGGCTTACTATATTTCTCTTTGTAAAAATTACTTCCTTAACTGGGATTTTAATATTGAATCAAGTTATTATTTTAAAATATGATTTATACATTGGGCCTCATGCAAG